TCTCTCATTTCCCTTTTTCAAAATCATCTGATTTCTTTTCCTCTATGTGTTGTAGAGCGTGCGAGTCTGCCGAGAAACATGATTGAGAACAGCATGTTTGAAGAAGAGCCTGATATTGTGGATTTGGCCAAAGACACCACTACATCTCCAGTACGTCCTTGTCATCATATGTCATGCACGCTATGCACATCTTCATTTCAAGAACCAGCCTAGCCTAGCTCAAGAATTAGCATATCTCAAAATGTATATTTGCATCATTCTGCACATTTGACACAAGTGCTTTCATCTGTAAATCTGATGTGATCAATAAAGCGTTTATTAAATATTTGCACACTTTTGGTTCAGTATATACAGTGCACTCTTGTACATGTTTGTACTTTTTTTTTAATCTGTCAGCTGCAACTAACTATAGTCAGCATCGTATGAATTACTTCTAGCTGAAATGAGATTTTTTTTGGGATGCTGAAGATGCTTTGTCTCCACTAAATAAGTAAATAGTATGTCTCTCTCTTCAGAGTTACAGAAGGGATATTAAATGTATTTTATGTTTACAATGCACTCTCTTTTATTGTCTTCCAGTGTTCAGTTTCTGCTGTCACTCTCATGACCACCTCCAAATAGGACATCTTACCCTGTGCTAATTCATTTATCTGGAAAGGCGGTCCAATTATTACCGTTATAAAGGAAACAATGCACAGCGTAACTGGAGACTAACAGAGTGTACTGTTCTCTGCAGACATTTCCTGCTCTTGACCCAGATGAGGTGGTGTATGAGCCTCGTAGCTCACGGCTACTTGTGCGAGGCCTGGGAGAGAATGACATGGATGAAGATGAGGAGGACTGCGAGTCTTCAGCCCGTCTGCTGGGAATGTCCTTTATGAACCGTAGCTCTGCTCACAGATCCGGTTCTTCCCCTTACACCAGACGGGACCCACCCAGGTAATTTACTGGAAAAGTCAGGATTTGTGGTGTTGTGTAGTATGTTAGCATTAAAAAAAATCTTTTTCCTATGTGGCACGGCTTGTGGCATTTTTGTCTCAAAGCAATGCTGGATAAATAATCACCAGGCCCAGATGGAATCTGAGCCCACAGATTTCTGATGAGACCTCCACAGATTTTCCGCAGATTTTGAAACAAAAGTAGGAACTTGGAATAGAAGCACGTGTCGGTTGGTTAGTTGCACAGCTCTGCCTAGCACTTCTTTTTCCCTTACATAACAATTTGTGACACTTCTCATGTCAACCTTCTAGAGCTGTTCCCCACAGTAGCCTGTGTGAACAGCCCAGGTCAGTGTCTGTTAACAAAGATATTAATGTCTCCTGACAAGATTGTCTGAAAATGTTATCCCATATTCACCCTGCTCAAGATTATTTCAGGCTACCTTAATGAATTTATGTGCTTGTTTTTGATTTAAAAAAAAAAATCATTGTTAGCTAAATGAATATTTTCTTGTACATTACAAGCAAATAAATAAATCACTCTGCTGTGTTCCATAGATTCCCATCATGAATAACCACAGAAAAATGTAAAAGAAAAACATCTGCAGATTCCATTTTGACCTGCTGATCACCTAGTGTCATGTGCAAAGCTTGTGCGATTAGTATTTTTGGAAATGCAGATGTTAATGATAAATGTTGAATTCAGGTGAATGTATTGTAATTTAGTCATTTTTTTTTCAAATGTCCTGTTGAAATAAATACTGAAGAAGAGATTTTGAGATAAGACTTATTGAGCCAGTGGCTATGGATGGAAGCAATAGACGCATCGTTCCATGGCACAGATGTTACATAGAATCATCAAACCACTCGTGGCAGTGTTGGCGAACATTTCCTGAAACAGCTGCTACATTCAGAGTCCTACCAGAAACTGTGGTTACAGCTGCAGAAGAAAGAAAGCGCATATTTGCCCTTAAAGTTAGTGCACCTCAATGTAAAATGACACATCCGTAATCACTCAACAAGTCATCTCAAAATTTATGGAGCTATAATACTTGTGTGGTTTCAGTTGTATGTTCCGAACAACAAAAGTAACCATTACATGTAAACACAGTAAATAATTGTCAGACATAATTGTGCTGCCCTGCCTCACAGTATTGTAATTGAGTGTGTGAAGTGAATATCAAAAGCTGTGCCAAATACCAAACCCCTTTCACACATAGAACCTGCAGCTTCTCCAGATAAATCAGTGAGTGCAAAGAAGTGTTTTCTTTTTTGGTCTGTGTGTATATGACCACTCTGAAAAGATGAAGCTTTTTCACACAGTGGCTGTGATGGATATTAGCAGTATGTTAATGACAAATGTATGACCGTTTAATGTTTGTCATTGTCTTAGATAGAAAATTTATTCAGGCTTCCATCTCGATATGATGCAGATAACGAAAACTGCCAAAACATGTGCAGGTTAATCTGGATAGGAAAGGGCTTTAGTCCACTGAGCAGCAGAGTACTAAGCTGAAACTTTACCCAGCCTCTTCCCTCCACCACACCTCTGTCTACAGCTTCTTCATAAGCATTGCTGCTCCCTTTCATCCTTTTTGTCAAAGCGGTCAAAGTAAGCAACTCTTCCTGCCTTCAGGTCATGTTCACGGCCCTCAACCCGGAGCACGGTTGTGTGTGTGTTACTCCTGGTGATAGTGGCCTCTCTGACTATGGTACTGTACTTCTTACCTGGATGCAACTTTACCAAGGTAAGGAAAATATTAACTAGCTCTGCATAGGTTTCTTTTCTGACCATTAGCAGATAGCTAAACATGACTCTTTCAACTCATCATGTCAATATCAGATTATTTCACTGTTTAATCTCACAGTTTTACCCATTTCCCTGGCTCACCCCAAACCTTCATGCTTTTTCAGGCAGGTTGCCAAAAGCCAAATAATACCCTGGAGCCAGTGTACCCTTGGGCCACGAATGTCCATGAACTGTTTCCATGGGCTGAGTTCCGGCTGCCTCAGAGCATACATCCTCTCAGCTATGACCTCACCCTGAACCCTGACCTTGAGAGCATGACTTTCACTGGCCGCACAGTTATTAACATGTCTGTGCGTCACAATACCAAGCGCATTGTCCTGCACAGCGCTAATCTCAACATTACCAAAGCTACCTTCAAGGTGGGATTGGAATAGGATTGTGTACAGATAACTGTGTGTAATGACAGAGTTTAGATCATTTAGACTTCATTCTGTGATGTGCAAAGCCTGCTTAACTAGTTGTACAGAACTGTATACAAAGATTTCATTTGTGCCAATCAAAATAATTGATTCAGACTTTTTGCTTTCACTGTTGTCTGTCAGTTGTTAACTAATACTTTCTCTCTTCCAGTTGGGTGATAGGAAGACCAGTGTTGTGACTGTACTAGAGTACAAACCCAGACAGCAGATAGCTGTGAAGTTCTCCGAGGAGCTGAAGGAAGGCCAGTACTGTGTTTTGACCCTGGATTACTCTGCCAACCTCTCAAACACCTATGGTGGTTTCTACAAGAGCTCATATACTGATAAAGATGGAAACAAAAGGTATATTTGACTGACTGGCTGTGCTGTCACTACCTCCCAGCAGCTGAAGTATGTGGTGCAGAGTAAGGGCTTGATAAAAAGGGTGCATGGAGAGTATCATGTATTCACAGCTGATCTTGTGACCTTTGGCTCTACTCATGGCCAGACACTAATAATGCAGTGCTGTAAAGATAATTAAAAAGGAAAGTAGAGGCTGTTTTAGTGAATTTACAGCATTTATCTAATTTGATATATGTGCATGATCATGTTTCTCTCCCTCTTGTCCCCAGGGTCCTCGCTGCAACCCAGTTTGAGCCACTGGCAGCTAGAAAGGCCTTTCCTTGCTTTGACGAACCGGCTTTCAAAGCCACCTTCCTGATTAAAATCAGCAGAAAATCAAACTACATGACTCTTTCCAACATGCCTAAGGTACTGTAACATCAGGTAACACCTTTTTAAATTTACAATATGGTACTGAGTGAAACATCCTACTCACTGTGCTAAATGTCTTCATCAGTGTATTTATTCAGTTAGCAAAGTTTTTCCACTCTAACACAGAACATTTGATATAAAGGCTGACATTATTTGACAGTTCATTTTTGAGATTTCAGACTAAAACTGATATAAAACAGGAACTGATTTCGAATTACATTTGGTTTCAGTAGTGTATTTTCTAAGTACAAGTTAAACTTAAAGAATTTATCTGAACATAAAAAAATATTTTGGACACAGGGTATATTAGTGTCTTTGCTCAGCGTCACTAGATTAGCACAGATGTTGTGTGTTTAATAGCATTTGGCAAGTAACCACTGACATTATATACACTATAAAATAGAATTTCCTATTAATGGATTCAGTGGCAGGTGTATGACCTAAAAAAGTATTTTGTCTTCAATTTTGACAACATATTGTCAAGTTGCTACTGGCCAACAATGTCATGTTTATCACCTATATAGCCGCACCTTATAGTACAACAACATGTTAAGTCAGTCACTCCCTATATTTACTGTATGTTACTTCTGTTTTTGGAAAACTTGAGTCATTCCTGTTCCCACTGCGACTCGTAACCTCTGAGTGAGCGCAGTTGACAGTTGGCAGGCCATGTACCGTTATTAGCTTGCAGTGCTGTATTGTGCAGCACTCTGACAATGTGCTAAATTTGATTTAGTTTGGGGTATTCTTCCGACATTAGCTGGTAGTCATCTTGTCCTTATGCTGTGTGTTTCAGGCTACGTCTACACCACTTACCAATGGCCTCATACAGGATGAGTTTGAAAAAACTAGTGTCAACATGAGTACCTACCTTGTGGCCTTCATCATTGCTGACTTTACTCCTATCAGCAAAAATGTCTCAGACACTCTGGTAGGTCTGACATTGATCTGACTCTTTGCTTTTAATTAAGGCTCTACATGTTGGCACCAATATATTTTTACATTTAGAATTCAGTGAGGTTGTATTGTTGCTTATAAACTGCCTGGATGATATAGTGTATACATAGATCTATTTGTTTTAGGTGTCCGTGTACTCTGTGCCAGAGAAGAAAGAGTACACTGACTATGCTCTGGACACTGCCTCCAAGCTGCTGGAGTTCTACAGTGATTTCTTTGATATTGACTACCCCCTCAAAAAACTAGGTGAGTACACTTACACACACTTGCACTTCTTACAAAATCTGTACGCACATTAATTTACACCCCTCTCACTGTTCTTTCTTTTGATTCCTCTTTACACTCCTCACTCTCACTATGTGCCCTCTCTCCTTTGACAGACTTGGTAGCCATCCCGGATTTCCTGGCAGGAGCCATGGAGAACTGGGGACTGATGACTTTCAGAGAGACCAGTCTGCTGGTGGGCAACAAGTCCTCTTCTCTGGAAAAACAAGTGGTTGCCTCTATCATAGCACATGAGCTAGCTCATCAGGTACTTGTGTTTACCTTTTTGCTTGTGACAGGTACAGTGGATATGATCTAAATCCCGATGTTGTGTTGCAGTGGTTTGGAAACATGGTAACTATGAGATGGTGGAATGACTTGTGGCTCAATGAAGGCTTCGCCACTTACATGCAGTACACGTCAGTGCAGAGAGTGTTGCCCCAGCTCGACATTGTAAGTTCACACATCTGGTTCATAAATTATTTCTCTGATAATCTGAAGCAGAAAAGATTGTGTGCTTCACTGTGTACCTTTACAGTACATCCTGTGTTTGTTTGCAGGGTAATTCGTTCCTGGCAATGCGGTTCAGAGCCTTGGACAAAGACGCACTAAACTCCTCCCATGCTGTGTCAACAGAGGTTAATACGCCAGAACAGGTGGAAGAAATGTTTGACTCTGTCTCCTATGAAAAGGTACACATTTATATGCAGTAGATAAGTAGGTGCAGTGTTCATTTATTCACTTAATATCTGTCTAGTGGTTTATCTCATGGTGCAATTGTTCTACTACACCTCACTATCTGTATAACTGTAGTTAGTACTTTGTTTTGGTCCTGATCACCGAGATTTTGTGCCTCTGTCTTCCAGGGTGCATCCCTTCTCCTGATGTTAAATGCCTCGCTGCCATGGAATCAACAGTTCAAAAAGGGTATCCTTCAATACCTGAAACAGTTCAATGGATCAAACACGGACACTGAAGATCTGTGGAACAGCCTTACACAGGTGCGTGGACGCATATGTTCCTTTTTGTGCTGTTTTCATTGATTATAATGGACTGCAAACATCATTTGTTTATATCTTTAGCTAATTTTAACCCATAAGTTCGCTTTGCAGACTTTCTGCCAACTCTCTGGCTAAAATGCAGCTCTCAGCTACATTTGACTAGTTTTATTGTCATCACATAAGGGGGATCACAGAGAACTGTCTCAGGGGCTACATTATCAAGATACTCCATAAGGCAGAAAATGATTTGCGATCATGGTTAATGATAATTTATTGATTCCTTTGAGTGTTCCTCTTTTTGTTTATTGCCCTTTAAAGAGGAGTCAGAGCACAGGAGAAGGTAGATACAGATTGATTAATTACTGTCAAAAGGGTTTGCACCAAGTGCCCTAAGTTTAAGGGCGATCTGCCAACTCATTACTTCCACCTGCTGCTCCTGTCTTACTTGCACATGCTGAGTTTTGCGCAGATCATTTGGAAGCAGTTCTAAATGTCTGTTAGTATTACAAAGTTAATTAAACAAAATAAAAAAGTGGATTTTGCAGACATCAAAGACCAAGAATTCAATATGAATGTTGATATTTGGATTATATATTAAAAGACATGGTTTAGATGGAATCTATGAGTTGTGTAAACCTTTTGAGATTATTTCACTGTTTTGTTTGTGTCTGTTACATCCCTTTTCGTTTTGGATCAGGGAAATTGTAATTTTTAGAAACAAATCTTCAAAATATAGCTGCAGAGTTTCAGACTACTCCTACTAACATGCTTATATATTCATGAGGGCAATGTACATGGCATTAGACTGCACAGACTATGGATTGCTCTTACTGTTTTCAGGTTGACGTCTCGACGCTACCCCAGAATGTGTCAGAGATGATGAGCTCATGGACATCACAGAAAGGCTTCCCATTGGTCACTGTAAGCCGCAAGGGAGATCAGGTGACCCTCACACAGGAGCACTTCCTTCTCACGTCTGACAATGCCACACATACTTCCAGGTGGGTTACATTATCTCACAAACACACACATATAAAGATAATAGAAACACACCACAACCCTATCTGTACTGTGCACCCTCTTTAGGCTGTGGAATGTCCCTGTGACATATGTAAACGACAGCTGTAGCTTGGCCCCTGAGTGCAGACAGATGTTCACCCTGAAGACCAAGTCAGGTAAATCACAAACTATTAACCTCCATCAGTAACACTGTGTTTACACATTTTGTTGTGTAACGCAGCAGCAGCTTTGGTGTATCGCATCTACACAGGAGGTATTCAGGCACAGTACTAAGTGTAGGTCACCTGTGTTTTGAAAACACTTGCAGTATATTCCAATACACTGTCACTATTCCGCATGAAAATGCAGAAAACTAGACTTGAAGCATAAAAAGCCAGCTGTTACGCAGCCTGCGTAGCTTTATTGATTAAAAATAATGTAGGAGTGTATCTGTTTCGTGAGACAGACAAGTGAAAAACATGACTAAAATGCCTTCTGTGTAGCCATGCTGTAAGTCTCAATGTCTGGGGCACAGTGTGAAATGGGATTTGTGTGTGTGTGTGTGTGTGTGTGTGTGTTCAGGCACTTTTAAGCTTCCACAAACTGTGAAGTGGCTGAAGCTGAATTACAGAAACACAGGCTTCTACATCGTCCACTACGGAAGTGAGGGCTGGGACTCTCTTATAGAGGCTTTGTCCAATAATGTCAGTGTTCTTACACATGAGGACCGTGCCTCTCTCATACACAACATCTTTGCTCTCTCCAGGTATAAAAGACAAATTGAATAGTTTTTTCACCTGCATTCAGTGATACAAGAAGAAGAGGAAGAATATTTTCTAATGTCACTTCTTCTTCTTGGTCCTGCGTTGTCAACAGACTGGGGCGTGTATCCTTCCATCAAGTTCTAAACCTGTTGAACTACCTGCTCAACGAAACTGAGACTTCTCCTGTGAAAGAGGCCTTGTTACAGCTCAGTAGTATTTACAGACTGCTTGACAAAAGACAAGAGCAATATCTTGTGGCCCGCATGAAGGTAATGATCATACAGTATCTACACACTAAAGACAGTAAGAAGTGACCATCAAACACATTCATAATATTCATAATCATAAAAATCCTCAATAGTTCATGGATTAAAATAAAAGTACTCTGTTTTTTTAAAGAATAACTTTATTCTTTTATTCATTTAAAGAATTACTGTCACTAAGGTTTTGAAGAGGAGTTATCCATTAAATTCAATGGAAAAGTGTCCAAACATTTGACTGGTAGTGTACATAGAGAGCTTGGGAGAGTAACATGAACATAGCATAAAAACAATAAAGTTTAAGCTGTAAGACTTAAACATGAATAATGTTATGTCTTAATTCAGAAATACAGATCTTTAGTCCTTGAATTTTTACCAAACACAACCTTAGAATTAACCCAAATGTCCTTGAATTTAAAGTACAAGCAAATATTTCCCCATTTCTGATAACTGATATCTTCCTTATGTGCATTTATATTGTTTATTAACTGCATTATTTAAATGAATTGTTTTTCTTAAATCTTAATATCACAAAGTGCAACATAAAAAAGTTCATATCTTCAACTTGAAACCACTTCAACCCCTTGAAATTGCATATTTTTAGTGCAAAGGGCTGATTGATCATAAACTTAAAAAAAACATCTTTCATATCAGGGTTGATTTTATTTAAGCAGTCAAAATGTTGACTAGTTTTAGTTACAAATTATTGTTGAATGAAGTATGAAAAATACATGTCAGTCAATTTGTACAATTAGGGTTTGGTGTAGTGTTGTATGTGTAATAATGTCTCCTTGATTTTTTTCTTTCTTTCTTACATGTAAAAGAACTATATTCTGCTTCATTTTCATTCACTGATGGGCAACCAAACCTGGGAAGAGGAGGAGAGCATATCTAAACAGGAGTTACGGTCAGCGCTACTAGAGATGGCTTGTAGTCTGAATGAAGAAAGCTGCACTCAGAAAGCCAAAGCCATGTTCACACAGTATGTCCAGTCTAATGGGACAATACGGTACGTAAAGCAAACAAGAAACTTTGATTTTGCTTCTCGTGGTCAGGGTCACAGTGGCAACAGGGTGAGCAGGGTGGCCCAAACACATTTTTAGAGATAGAAATTGTCTTTAGCAGAACCAGAAGGGGGTTGTATTTAGATTTAATGAGTAACTGGAATCTGATGTTTAGGAAGAAAACTGAACATTTGAGCAGTTAACCTAAAATATGTTTGTATATTTATTCTGCAGTATATGTATTTTATGTATGTATTTCTGTAGCATACCAGGCGATCTGCAGAGAGTTGTATTCACTGTAGCTGCTCAGTCAGATGAGGACTGGTCAACTCTGCTCAGCATGTACAGATACTCCACCTATGATGCAGAGAAACGAAAAATGCTACAGGGCCTAGCATCCACTCAGAATGCACGACACGTAGTATGGTAAGTGTGTGTGTGGCTGCTTCTGGCCAGGATCAAGCAACTTCTTAGATGATTTGTGAAGTATACATAGTCTGAACTGGACAGTTTCATTCAGAGCCAACAGAGCAGCAACGTTTTAAATGCTACTGCATTCACTGCCATAAGTGAAATTTCATGAGTAATGAGTAACCATAACGACACATCATGCATTTTTGTTAGTACTGGATGTTCAGGGTGATTTGTATCTATCAGTGCCGACACACTGGTTGTAGAATTGGTGCTAAGGTAAAGTAGGCTATGTTAGCAGCATGGCTAAACAAAACACAACAGAAGTTCAGGGCTGGAAACTTGTATGAAGCTACTCACATTGACCCGTCACAACATGACCGTATCATACACACTTACAACACTTCCCCTGCAATCCCTCACCCTCCGACCAACGCGCCCACACAGCAGGGAGTTGTGTTTTTGCCAGACTAATGTGAACATATTGTCACACTCTGTCATACTAGACTGGATCTGTTATGTACTGGTAACACGAGACAGCTTTTGCCTCCACGAGAAATATCACATTTTAATACTGTGGCACGAGATCTTGTCACGCCCCTAGTGACAGATGATCATTTACTAAATCACCAATATATGAAAAGTGATGAAGAGGTTTTTCCTTGTCCTAACTCTGAGTCTTTTAATTTATCGACCTCATAACGTGTTTGTTCTGCAACCTGTTTGTAATAGAACAATGATTACAGGGCTGTGTAGTCACATACTGTACTGAAGTGATTATGATGGAGTGAGTGTAGTGTTCTTTATTTACTGAAATATTGTGGCCTGTCTAGGATTCTACACGCAGCTCTAAAAGGAGATATCATCCAGACGCAGGAGTTGCCTTTGGTCATCAGCACTGTGTGTAACGGTTTCGCGGGCTACTTGTTTGCCTGGGATTTTATACAGGAGAACTGGGACCGCCTCATAGAGAAGTAAGTGTTAGAATGCATTTTAAGATTATGACATAAAAAGTGAAAAGATGAAACAACATTAGTGTTTATGCATTTTTTGCTGTAGGTTCCCTCTGGGCTCCTTTGCTCTACAGGCAGTCATCAAATCTTCCACTTCCCAGTTTTCTACACAGGCACACCTTGATCAAGTATGTTTTTAATGTAAAAGAATACACTTATGCTGCAGTGTACTGTAGCTCTGCACTTGTCTGCAGAGCTACAGATGTCAGCTGATTACAAAACGTTTTTAGTGTGAAATGTGAGGTCTGAGCTGGCGAACTCCCCAATGTGTGTTTTATGTGTCGTATAGGTGCAGGGTTTCTTCTCTAGTCTGAAGGAGCGTGGCTCTCAGATGAGGAGTGTGCGGGAAGCTTTGGAAACCATCAGGCTGAACCAGCGCTGGATGGACAACAACCTGCCTACGCTGCGAAAAAGGCTCTAAACAGGCCCTCCATCAGTCCCTGCCTCTCTCTCAGGCAGCTGGGGTGTGTCATCAGGACATCAGTAATGTTTGCACTATTATGGGCCTGTCTCTTTTGACTCCCTTTATCCAGGCCAGAGTTCTAACAACCCAGAGGTTGTGCTCTACCTGGGTGGACAAGGTATTTGCTTTTCTGAGGTTTGGCCATGTGAGTTTATTTTTTAGCTCAGGGTGGCTCTCTGATTGTGTGTCTGACAGGGCGTTGTCAGATGCAAACACACACTCCTCTCACTTAATGCTGCTGACCAAACCTCTTCTCTGCAGCTCTAATATAAACTTCGTGCCTGAGCAGACAATCATGCCTCCCCCGCGTCCTTTTGCTCAGCCTGCTCTCGGGCATTTAACTGTACGAGCTGCATAATGGCCCCTTCAAATAGAGCAGGTTTGAAGAACGTTGACATTACTAATGGACGCACTGTCAGTCAGTGCTGGACTTTCTCTCTGCCAATGGGTTTCTGTAGATGCAGGTGTCAGTGATTCCTCGGTAATGAAAAGTTAAAATTAGCGGTACTAGAGATGTTAGTTTTCTAAATTTCCCATTATAAACAGAAACAGTCTGTGCTTTAACTATTCATGCAACATGAAGCATATAAATCATGGTTTGGCTAGAAGACTGGCCGATTGATTGCTCAGATTGCCAAACTTGTGTTGGCATTAATTGAATGTACTGACAAACCTTGCCACTGTGTACAGTAGATGGCATCCTGCACAGCGATGCAGGTGCAAATCAACAAGCAGTGTGTCATAGATTAGCACAGGCAGTGCACACTGGAGCCGGTTGTTCTCGCTGTCTTTCTCTATCAGTCATAAGAACAGTTTAGTTCTGGTCAGCACGTTTTACTTTGCTTGTTTGCGGTGCAATCATTGTATACACTCATTCTTTAACTCCATATGCTTTTAAACTTGTAAGTATAAATGTAAATATGTGACTTTTCCCTGCAATGTTGGATGTACAGTTTGACACATTTTGACTTTTAAAGATTTTTAGATTTTCTTTCTGGTGTGTGTGTGTGTGTGTGTGTGTGTGTACACTGTACATACAGTATGCAGTTAAAAGATCAAATTATACATAGAGTTGATCAGCGTTCTTAATCAAATATGTTTTATTTCCTGATTTTGGCCAACACAAGGAGTTTTTATTTTTTGGCCACTGAATGTTCATGTTTAAGGACTGATGTGCATACTGAATCTAAAGAATGTATAGTACAACATCGGTACTGGGGATGACTAATCTGACCAGTAAGCTTTTGCTCATCAATCAAGTGAACTCACAGAAGAGTCCGAGTTAGTCAGCTGTTAAGTGTCTTTATATGTTTCTTAGTATCTTTTGATCCAGGATGTTAAGTAAAGTTGTCCATTCATCCTGAGCTTTATTTAAAGTGCTATTTTTCACCCCATCATTGTTACAATATCCATGATAAGTGATCTCTAACAGATATAGTGAATTTTCCATGGAAATCCTGGTTACCTTCTTCAGGCTTGTCTCCTGTGCATTTGGTTTTGACATTTTCATCCTCTAAAGCCCATTTGTTCCATTTATGTGAGCAGGAATTTTGAAGTTCATAAAACAAAAGAATACCAGTGAGATCTATCTAGGTTCACTCACCAATAACCATACCTCCAGCTTGGTCATGTGTTTCAGTGAACACAATTCGCTGGGCATTATACATGTAGGTCATGTCCTTGTGCAACTCAGCATTAGAGTGACTCCTACTGGTTTGTTGGGGTGGCTGCACAGGATCAGTGACTCTTAATCTCGGCACATTATTTTTTGATGAAGCTGAAAACGGAAACGCAGAGTGACACCATGAGTACTGGAGGCAGCATATGCATCCTTCCCAGGTTAACAGTGGGGGTTAGCAGTGTTATCACAATACAGAGGCTTGGGCATTCTGTTTAAATAAATCACTTACAACTGCAACTTAAACTACCTGCAGATTGTCAGTAGTATTGCCAAATTATTCCATGGGATTCATGATAGTTCCACAGTCTGATGATGTGTTGAATATACCTCTACATGTCCTAAACATTTAAATCCTGGCTCAGTCTGGTTATGCAGCTCTACTGAGATGATGGTACTCTGAGTTCCTGTTATATTTTTGTTAAAAAAGAAATAACTAGTCCATGTGAAATCTGTTGCAATATTCATTCTTAGTCAAAGCTGTTAAATCAGTGAAGGGAGGACTGTAGTGGAGTAAACTTGATCAGATTGTCTCACACTGGGATGAAATGCTGTAAATGCTTTTGTGTCACTCTTCATGTAAACCAAATATAAAAGTTGTTTTCTTAGAAATGTTGGATTTTCTTTTTCTCAGATAGACAACTCATCACGTACCTAAATTCAAAATAGCTTGTGGTGGTTTTCTGTCACTGATAATGCAAAACTGAGTCCTTTACAAATTATGTTAAAATGGTTTGTTGAAATGCAGCTGCAGCTAAATTCCTTTCAGTGGCATTGATGTTGAAATGGTTGATGTTTCTGATGTGTTTTTTTTTGTTTGTTTTGTTTTTTTAAGAGCCCAGCCATGGTGAATTTTAGTATTAAAAAATCTACATGACGTCCAACAGATGAGGGAAACTTAACCATTAGAGAAAGGAAAGTCTAAACAAGGTGTAAATTCAGTTCTGGATGTTTCCTAAAGCAGACACGTTCCCTTATTAGTGGAAAATAACATGCTACTGCCTAGACCACCCGGTCAATCCAAATAGCATTAAAAAAGTTAAATAAAAGGCCAAAGCACTACTAAAAAAATTATAGGTAAAACTAAGATTTTCAGGAATGACTGGATACTGGGAGGATGCTGTCTAAACACAATGGTTTACTTCTACCATTAATGCCTCTTGCATGATTCTTCTCAGTTGTACCACCAGAGGTCTTTGTAGCTCTGCTGGAAACTTGTATAGTGGCTCTCACTCGTGTTCTTGAAGTTGAAAGATATTGTACTTCTTAAAAGATGAATGTAAGTGACTTGAAAAGATTTATTTAGACACTGGGGATATTATGGAAGATGATCCTTTAAAATTTTTTTATCCTAAAACTAAATACAGCCTTTAACTATAAAAGGACCTTTTCATTTTAAACAACTGCAGGCTTTTGTGCATTTTAACCCACTGTTCCCTCGGTGTGTGTGTGTGTGTTTTAGAAAGTGTGTTTTGTGCCTTGCAGACTTGTTTTGGCAGAGGGCCATGCAGCTGGAAGACATCATACAGGCTGTATTTTCTCCCTTCATACTTTCTTTCTTGGCCAAACAACACAAGGTATAAACACAATTGACTCCTTTGTACTGAAATCCAGACTGGGTGTAATTAATGACCAAGCTGAATGCTATATGAGACCTGACAGACATCACAGCAATTTGTTTGCTGCTGTCGCATTTTCAACAGTGTCAGCTCCTTTAGACTTAGACCTTTTTAGAGCAAAGGTCTGTATGACCTTTGCTGTGGTATTTCTTCTATTTAGTTGTATATTATATATGTTATTTGTAATAGTGGCAGTGTGGTTAGCAAGAAGGTTCCAGGTTCAAGCCTGGGCCAACCTGGGGCCTTTCAGAGTGGAGTTTGCATGTTCTCCCTGTGCCTGCGTGGGTTCTCTCCGGGTACTCCGGCTTCCTCCCACAGTCCAAAAGGTTGACTGGCGACTCTAACTTGCCTGTAGGAGTGAGTGTGAGTGTGTGTGGTTGTTGGTCTACATGTCAGCTCTGTGATATAATGGTAACCTGTCCAGGGTCAACAGCATGGCTCTAGGGATGGCTGTGCTGGTTTGCTGATCTGTTGTTCCACCATTTTGGACTGAAATTACCGCAGCCATTAGATAGATTGACATGGAATTTTGCACAGATATTTATGGCCCCATTAGGACTAAACATATCTGATATTACCTTTAATGCCAGGAGAAGTGTGTCAACAACAATCAATTGACACATATATTCACTGTCCCTTCAGGATAAATTGTAATAAATCTGGTGAAGATTATGCAATCTTTGCTTTGCACCAGCATGTTGTTGTGTGCATATTAGCATGGTTGTAAGTTCTTAGCTTTGTTTCAATTTCCCTCTTTCCATCTAAATACAACCTGCAAAGCAGTCTGCAAGGACCGGTGTAAAAAAGCAGCACCATTTCATCACATGATAAAAAGCAAAACATAAGATAAAACGTATGCTTTGTGGGTCATGGATGGTTTCTACAAGACGGAAGTATTGACCAGTGGTAATGTGTATGTGTTTTGCATCTGTGAGTAACAGTTGGTGCTGGCAGACCTTAAAACAGTGACATTCCTGATGTCATGGTACTGCACAGGAAAGTATAAAAGCTGGGGATATTGACAAGCTGAAGATATGTCACATGACTGAATAATACTCATAATTTTACTTAATGAAGATGTGACTGAATAATACTCATAATTTTACTTCTATGTGAGAACCTACTGATGTTGTAAGTAGGTGTGTCCTGTTACAGAGGTGGAAAAGGTACTTACTGAATGTATTTTGTCACTACTGCAAAGGAGTAATGCTTCATTAGAAAGTGTCATGCATTTAAAATAAAAGTGCTGAATCATTCAAAGTGTGCTGCATTGGCAAAACTATGACTTACTGTGAAGTATTAATGCATCATTGCATACAGTAAATGTATGTTGACATACATTAAGCATTCTTTTTCAGTTTTGTAAGGATAAACAAGTCAAAATTAGCCTAGAAGTCTACTTTTCTGTCACACCTAGCCAGATGTTAAAATGCCTCCCTAGACAGTTTAATTTGACAGATATAATTATTTAATAAGGCATCAGCATTTATGGACTCATGAAAATGGTTTGCACATAAATATGCAAACAAAAACTATGAACTGCACCTCTCAGGTGAATGTTATTTTCCCCATTTGCAAACACATTAATTAAACTAAATCTACACATAGACCCATTAAACATAAAATGTCCCTCTCAAGTCTTACTGAGATTAAATACTCTTACTTTAGAATAGGACCATTAGTTTGGAACTAAAGTTGAGTGTAGTACATGAGTTAACAAACTTATTCTACTCCATCACTATTTGGACACTTTGTTGTAGATTTAGTTTGAATGGTTAAAGCAGCCACTTTTGTCCAATAGTCTATACTCATTAACCCTGTTTTATGTCATTGAGTGTGCAGCTGCAGGTTCAAGCTCGTTTGGGAATAGCACTCCTATGCTACGAAGACGCTGAATATCACGGCAAGGAAAGTTTATTTATATAGCACATTTTCATACGCAATGCAGTGCTTCACACAATACACACAGATGGATAAAACATTAAAGTTCATACAAAATACATAAAACATTAGAATGCAAATTAGATAAAACATTAAATATTACTTAAAAGCAACAATTACACGACAGCACATTTAGCAACATCCATGAGTAGATACCTAGTATTTCAAGTATAGCTGTGGCAGACTGTGGATTCTCACTGTTCTCATTTTACTTTGTACCCCTTTACTTCAGTCTTCCCAAGACAAGCCTCTGAGTACTTTTACATCAGAGGTGGGTGTATTTTGTCCCCAGAATTAGAAACACCAGTGTCTCCACAGTCAGCTAAACAGTCCTAAAAGTTTTTAGAATAGCTGTGGCAAACTGTTGATTCTCACTGTTCCCAATATACTTGTAACCTTTACCTTAGTCTTTTCAGCGCTAGACTCAGAGTATTTTAATATCGGAGGTGGATGCATTTTTCTTCCAGGAATTGTCACAAGTTGCACACACCCGCTCATTAAATCAGTCAATCACTATTGGCCCTATTCAGTCAGCTTCTGTGGGAAACCCAAGAACCATTTGAACTATTTACCTGTCCTGGTTTAATGATGATTTATTGTTTATGATTGTTGGCACATTACATAGGTCGTTGACTGTGTGCGTGCGTGGGTGTGTATTACTTATGTAAGAATCGGTGTGTAATTAATCTCTCTGCCACTTAAACACTGTTGGGAAGGGCACTGGCAATTTCATTCTATTTTTAATACAGTGTCAGCCAATAGGGCAGCACACGGTGGCACAGTGGTTAGCGCCGTTGCCTCACAGCTAGAAGGTTCTGGGTTCGGGCCCCACCTGGGACCTTTCTGTGTGGAGTTTGCATGTTCTCTCCGTGCTTGTGTGGGTTCTCTCCGGGTACTCCGGCTTCCTCCCACAGTCCAAAGACATGCTCAGTCTGGTTATGCAGCATTAGACTTGATTGGTGTCTCTAAATTGCCCATAGGAGTGTGTGTGTGGTTGTTCGTCTATGTGTTAGCCCTGCGATGGATTGGCGACCTGTCCAGGGTGTACCCCGCCTTCGCCCGATTGCTGGCCAGGATTGGCTTCGCCCCCCCCCGTGACCCCGCTCAGGGACTAAGCGCTAGAAAATGAATGAATGAATGTCAGCCAATAAAGGTTTCTTTTCTAGTTCAAATGGCTGTTGCAGAACTATGCAGGCCTGCAGCTGCTTAGTTCTGCAACATCTAATCGTGAGAAAAGTCTTTGAATGGTGAAATGGGCAGCAGGTGAGCTGTATGACAGTCAGCTGATGAAAGAGACTAAAAGCCCAACTGGGACTTGTTTTCAGACTTTCCCCTTTTTCGTTTTCTGCTGTCATCAAATGGTGACATTAGACCAACAATGTGAACGTGAGTGCATGCAATACAATTAATGCATATAATCATAGTAGGATAGCAAGGGAGGGTAGAAAGGTGCTTAATATGTTGTGATATGTCTTCTGATATTTCATGGCATCATAAGAACTAATGTGACTGAACAGGGATAAGAATGACAGCCATTTTGATAACTGCAAGCAAACAGGGGGCCTGGGCTCTCCTATTGCCACTGGGTATATTTAACTGCTTGGTGGTCTCTAGTCAACAGGATGGCCTTTGCTTATGCCTATGCTTCACATTATTGGGCATGCATTCTAGGATCGGTTTGATTTGGTGTACCATCCCTTAGTTATAGGCCTAGGCTGAGGATTGTGTCATGGTGCGGAGCTCCTCTCCTCACTGCCCCATTTTATTTTTACATGTCTTCATTATGTGTCATTAACTTTTATGTCTTCTCTCTCCCATAGTGTGTCCTCTCTCTCCCTGTACCTTTCTGCACATAGCCCTGGCTCTGGAGCTCTAGGTTTCTGATGAGCAGTCACGGTCACATCAACCTGCCCAGTGCTTGATTGTTTGTTGTTGTGTTTGTTGTGTCTTGTTGCTGTCATACTCTTTGCCATTTTAAATAATGTGCACAGCTCCTCTCTGCTGTCCCATTCTGATGGGGAGAGTGTGTGTGTGTGTGTGTGTGTGTGTGTGTGTGTGTGTGTGTGTGTGTGTGTGTGCATTTTACCTTGCCATAAGGCACTGAGTCAGCAGGGAACTGTTTTGTAGCCTTAGCTCCATTGCTCTTGTTTCTCAGAAAATACACAATGACTGTACCAGAGTACTCATCGGTAAATGCAATGATATATTTACACCCTTCAATGGACTCGGACTCTATCGACCCTGCTAGGTCAGTGTGTATCAACTCAAGTGGCTTTTTAGCTCTGTCATCAGGGATTCTGTTTCTCGTTTGAGTGAACTTGCCCTTTAAACATGCCTCACAGGTAGGTTCCTGTGTAGTGTGTTTGATACACGTTCCAGTTTCAGTACATCAGCAAAGTTCCAGTGTCCTAACACCTCATGTCAAGATTTTAGGTTGGTACACTATTCTATCTTAAATGTCTTATCATCCCAGCTCACTTCTGCCTTGATGAAAGTTTACCTCCACTCCATTTGCAGTTTTCACTGAGAAGATCTGTTGGCACTAGCTTGGGATGAGGAAGGCATTCTTCAGGTTTGTCTTCACCACGTTCTCCTCACTGTTGATCAGGTCGATGTAGGCATTTCCTCTTTTTACTACAACTCTGCTCTGTCTCGATCCATCGGCCAGCTCCAAGATGTGGCCCTAGTGCCTGAAGCTCTGATCCAGGGTCGGCCTGTGGCATAGGCAGTATAGGCAAATGCTAAGGGCACCGTACATCCAGGGGGCGCCAGAAATGGAGGAAGAAAAAAAGTGTAACTTCCACTATTCTTAAAACTAGACCTCAGAAAAGAATAAGCCCATCACATTAATTTAACTGCATAGCAGCAAAGCCTACTTAATAATAATAATTCTTTAGTCACCTCAGCACCATGTCTCAGGAGAACTCTCACTGATTCGAGGTGCCCGAGTGACACGGCCAGGTGCAAAGGGGTCCGACCTCTGGGATCCACAGCCTCAATGTCATTCTGAGAAAATCAGTGAGAAATCCACACATTTCCTGGGCACTTTTATTTGTGTAATATAATCTAGGCACCTGGTTAGACTAAAGAGAACAAAGAGCTTACTGTACTAACCTCACTTGTAACTGAGGGCATTGCAATTGTGCATCATAGTTTTACACATTTTAATTTAGCTAATTACTCAGTGATAGAGAACTGCAGTAGTCATTACACTAACAACACTGAGCAGCAGGTCTGGTCCTCATATGAGTCATGCGAATGTGTTATTGAATAGTAACAGTCAGAGCAAATTGATAGTAATTTTACTGAAACAATACACAATATTAACTGTGATGGAAAAACATCAGGTTAGAGATGCCTCTGAAAAAAGTGAACTTGTTAGATTAGTCTGGGCATGTGTGGCAGAAATGAAACTGAAGGTGACCAGGATTCTAAACAAGTAGGAGTTTTTTTATTATTATTATTGTAGCGTCCCACAGGACACAAGGAAGAAACCGTGAGTGCCGACGCATAGTCGCTTTTTTATTAACTCCACACAACCGGTTACTGTTGGCCCTAACCACGCCAAAACAACAGCCCAACAACAATAAGAAAAAGAAACAACCTGCTAACACCCTCTATAGCTCAAATCCCCCCCACACTTCTCTCCCTCCCGCTCTCACACCTCTTAACCCCTGAAGCTCCACACCCATCAAGGAACCATAACAATTTAGAACATCATAACATGCCAAGTGAAGGATCACTACAGTATATTATCCTGGAGTTTACTCATTCTTTGCAATGCATTCTGCTAATTAGCATTTCACTGTAATAACAATAAAATTGAAATTGTTACTAATATGATGATGGTGTAGTTTTTAAGTTACAGCAGTACCAAAAACAGCACTAGAGGTCTTTGTAAGATCATCTTTTTATTCTTATTTAAATCCTTGTATTTTTTTGTGCCTACTCGTTTCTTTAATTAAGTATTTTGAATGTGCAATTGCTTTATTTAAATAAAAGAATGTCCAAGACAAAGCTATTACGTTTCTTATGAGTATATACACTAGCAGTGGAATTTACTGCGATGCAACGGGGCGCCACCTGAAATCTTGCCTAGGACGCCAAATTGGTTAGGGCCGGGCCTGCTCTAATCAAAGCGTTAGAAGCGGGATTCATCATTCAGGATGCGTGAAGTGGCGCCTGTGTCCACAATGAGGCCAGTCAGTTTCAAGTTCTGGTTGCTGCCCTCGCTTGCTCTGAAAGCGTAGGACTCCTCCTCCTCTTCCTCTTACTCACTGGCGCACTCACAATCTATGTCAGCTGCACGCTTCACTGTGTCTTTGTGCCTCAGAGTGGTGGGAAGTGTGTAGATCCAAGAAGGGGTGCCTTGCCGCTTCCTCTCCTTTGCTGACCTGATTGGACACACCTTTGCACGATGACCTTGCTGTCCACAAGCATAACATTTTCCAACAAACTTTTCTTTTTGTTTTAATTTTGGTGCTGTCTCCTTGCAGCTAGTTACTGCCATCATCCCATCTGCACAGGTCAGGGCACAGTACTGCTCGGTGCATTCGAAAGTCTTTAGCTTAGCTTCAAGTTCACAATAGCTTAGTTCTTCATTAGCTTCAGTGATGTGTACCGTGAACAGGTGATATTCGTCTTTCAGACCTTTCAGCATCATAGTGATTAATAAGCTTTCACTCAATATTTCTTTGGTTCTTCTTAATGCTGCAATAATATTCTCTGCTCTGACCAGGTAGTCTGTGATGCTTTCTGAGTTGGCCTTTACCATGTTAGTGACTTCTGTGTAGAGGCTTTCTATGCGGGGCTTCTTCTGCAACATAAAATGGCACTCCTTAGTGAGTGAAAACTGTGGTGGTGCTCTAAATGTGGACCATCCTCTCCAGTAAGGACTGATGGGCGATTTATGTTTATCTCAGGTTTATCTCAGAAATAAATTGGTCATATGATTTCCCTGGTCTTTTGCGGGCTATGGGGTGTAACCAATGCCTCCAGGTACCTTCTGGCTCTGATCAAGAGGTCATTTTACCTGCAGCAGCTGCCTTGGTGACAGCTGGTTGACCACCAATTGGAGGGAGTATGACACTACCTTGGGTGCTCAGGCACTTTGAGCTGCTGTTTTACCCTTCAACCACCAGGGACTATCACAGCCTGAAGAGCTGAATGAAGACCTATGACCAAGCCAAGTGTAAAATGTTACGGCATGGGGAAGAGACACTGTGATCATTGGTGATTTTTGTGGAATATCTTGCTGGATTTATTCTTCACTACCTGAAGGATTTATTTTATTCTCCACCGACTATGGATTTAATTTGTTTTTACTACTTGAGGGACTTAATTAGCGAGGTTAAGTTTTATTTAAAACTACGCATGCTGCATGTGTTTGTTTGTTTGTTTTTTTAGTTAAAAGGTGTTTATAAAAATAATATATTTTTAATATGAATTTAATATTTAATTTCCAACGAATGATCCATAGGTCATAAAACCATCAATCATAGCCACTGTGCAGTAGAGGTGTGAAAACTACAGTTGATGTACCCATTAAGGTACTGCTGGGAAATTATAAAATTTGATAGCAATTTGATGCACCCCTGAGAATTACAGTGGAGGTCCAAAAACCTAACAGCTAAAGGTGAGAAAGTATGAGGAAGAGGAAGGGTGAGGTTCGAAAGGTAACATTAAAGGTGTGGAAAACCAGGCGCGACTTAGGGGTCATAAATCATCTGGCACTCCTAGTTTGACAGGTAGTGCCTTTTATATCGCTCTATTATGAAGCAACCAAAGTTGCAATTTTTATATTTTTGATTGCTCATTGCCAGCAAGATCTTACCCTGCTTGCACCTGTGAGGTGCAGAATACAACTTGAAGTGTTAATGGTAAAATCACTTAATAGACTTGAGGCCCAAACTATTTATCTACAACATTTCTTGACCAATGTTGAAGATCCTCCATCTGGCCTCAGAAAACATTTTACTTTTGTTTTAAGCAGCTAAATCTTAAACCATTAGTATTATTGCTTTTCTGAATTACTTTTGAATGTAAAAGTAAAAGACATAGGTGCTATATATTCAGACTTCCTCAAGATTATCAGTCAATCCTACCTCAGGAACCTTGGACCCTTAGCAGCCAATGAAGAGGGAGAAAAATACCAAACAGGCAAAGCCAATGGGGTAGACACAGCTGAAATATAAAAAGCTGGGGGTTATAAGAGATGGCTGGAAGTTCATTCTTGTCCAGTCCCTACAGGTGTCTGTCATAGATCCTAAATCTAAATTATAATACAAGCTATGACCATACTAAAGAAACAGCTCCCAGGTGGTAGGTCTTAAACCCATGAGTCTTCAGAACAGAGGACTGTGGAAAGCGCTACACTTGACTAATTAAAGCAGACTTCCACATACAAACAAATAAAACTCAGTGCACTGGCTGAGACACTACCTCACATTACACATGACCTAGAAGTTTCCCTACTGATGAAACTTAGCATTCCTTAAACTCTGACGGAGACATCTATTGGAATCATGAGTTGAAAATTTCCACCACACTGCCTGAGATGCCATAAAGTCACCTTCTCCTGACTTCATCTATAATAGAAACTGTGGACCAGGAGGTAGAGCTGTCCCCCTAACCAGAGGTTCGGTTATTAAATTCCTGTTTTCCCCAGTTCACATGTCAGCGTGTCCTTGGGCAAGACACTGAACCCCAAGTTGCTCCTGATGGCCACAGTTGCACCTTGCAGCGACAGTGCCACCATGGCTGCCTTGTCTCTGTACCAGAGACAAATTTCTTGTGTGTGAAACATACTTGGCCAGTACAAGTGATTACCATTAAAAGTTTTAGGTATGTTGTTTGCAGATATATAAGAAGTTCCCCTCAGAAAAGAATAACTGATCATAGCAACATGATAGAGTTCACAGATAATTGTTAATTATTTAAATTAACTACTTTGAGAAAACACTAAATAAATAACCATGGACGTGACTGGTTGTTAAAGTTTAGTAAGAAATATACCACACATGAACAAAGTTTTACAGAGAAAAAAAATCTGCTACAAGTAATCAGATTATCAAGTATCATTTATTTTCTCATATTTACATATATACTTATGCGCATTCTTCAAAAAGTAGCTTCCATTAGCATAACATCTGTCTGTCTTTCGCTCTCTCTGTTTTTGCTGACATATGGTACTAAACATAACTAGTAAAAGTGACCTCCGGTACGGCACTATGTCCCATTTCTTCTTCCGTCTGCTTTTGTTCTACCCTAGGTGCTGGGTCTTCCACATGTGTCTCTTCCTCGTTACCCTTTGATTCCTCACTTTCTAATCTCCCTTGTTCTATTCTTTCAATCTCAAGCCTTAGTTGCTCTTTCTCATTTAGTATTTCTATGGCTTTCTGCCGCTCCTCCTGTTCTTTCCTCTCTTTCTCAGCCATTTTCTCCTGCTTCTTCAACTTCCAGAAGTATGCCAGGTTTTTCTCAGGGTAGGTCACTTTGGCTAGTGGTAGCTTGAAGATCTTATTGGTCCCGATTGTTAAAAGGAGGAAAGTGAGGGCAGAGAGACAGAAAGGCCAGGTGCAGGCTGGCAGACTGAACTGTAGAAGAAAAATACACTATGTTATACTTAGTATTTTGTGTTTATTACGGGCTGATATATGAATTGAAGTGAGAGAAAATACGTATACCTACCGTTGACATGATATTGGAAATGGCTGAGCTGAGGTATGCACAGAAAAAAGCTGCAGAGGAGAAGAAGAGAGGTGTGGTGAAATGACATGCATGTTTATTCTGGGATAAGTGTTTTCACAAAATGCAAATATGTGGTCCCTCTCTGCCAGTGTTGCACATGGTTACATGTCATGTGGCCATCTTGTGTATATGTGCATTTCCAGATGGTGTGTTTATCATTCAGGTGTCTACTCACCACAGGTAATGGCGAGCAGGTGCGCCTGCCATGTGAGAACATAAAACATGCCTCCGATGGCAATGCAGGCTAGCACACAGTTATATCCCCAAAGGCCAAAGTAAATGTCACCAAAAGGAGCTGCCAGAGCCAGGCCTGCAGAACAAGCAAAAACCTCAGTTTAAGGTTGGTTAACCAGGTTATCTTTGCATGTTTTAATGGATATTTTTGTGGTTATATTAGAACACATGAATTGATTGCAGCTGGAATTAACTCTGTAAACGTAAGGATGCAAAAATAAGATGCACTGTTTATTGACTACTTTTGCAGTTGTTCATTTCACACGCTTCCTATATGGGAAGTGTGCTGACCAAGGTATTGTTTGCTCCCCTCACCTGAAACCATTCCCACTGTAGATCCAATGATAGCATGAGCACAGGTGATAGGGGAAGAGATGAAGAGCGAGATGATGAAGATTCCTCCCGTCCAAGGGTTATCACAGCCATACACCTGGCCTATTCCCACAGGTATTGACTTGAACAGCTAAAGAGGTACACACAGAAAACCATATTTGTAGGTGCACTACGAAGTATAATGTACACTTAGACAACATAGAAATGGATTTATTAACATCCCCCTGACTGAGCTTTGGTGCACCTGTACAAAGCAACTTATACTTAGGCTTTTAAGGCAATATACAGTAGCTAAGCTGCACAAAGATCTATTAGCCATAGTAACTGAAACCTAGGCTTGTAAAATTTAAGGTTTGCTCCTTCAGAAAATTTGTACAGACATATCGTGGTCTGTTTCTGACCTTGGCTACATCGATTTCAGCCCAGGTGATATTGGGCATCTCTGAGCGAGGCTTAAAAAGGACTTGGGGAAAGTAGTTGTTGTAGTGGCCGGTGGCGACCATGTGGAGACACACGAGGATGTTAAAGGGCAGGGTGAACACTGGCAGATCCCAGCGACTGTTGATAGAAGCCAAAGCACTGGACACAATTGGGCTGAAACACAATGATACAACACTATCAGTGTTAGATTTTAGTCACCTTTAACTCAATCACATTCACAGTAGGTTCTGCACATTTCCTACTCTTGTTATTAAAGTATTATTATATATTTATACCAGCCAACACCAGAGATGCCAACATGGGGCAGGACTGTGATACTGTCAGACTCATTCTTTCCACTTATCCAACATAATTAAATCATTATTATGCTTTATGGCCGACTGAATCGACAATTTCTGACTGAGAAAAGGTTAATGAAGTCTGGATCTAGAAGCACTGTTTTTCTTTCAATTGTAATATAAATGAATGAATAAATTCATTATATACTGACATTAGACATGTTAGCCTTTAGTCCTTGTATAGTAAACTGATCAGTTTTCTACCTTTCATTTCACAGTTACTTAGTGTATCTGCTTACCACATCATGGACATGAAGATGTTGGGTAGCAGAAGCCACCAGTACCATTCTCCTGCAGTGGAGAAGACAGCCATCAGCAGACCCACCAGGATGCCATTGTATCCGTACAGCCCTGCAGCTATTGCATCCCTGAAGGAAAGTAATTAGACAGAATGAATTCATATTTTCCTGTTGTACAATACAGTGTATGTGACTTCTTTCTATATAATTAATCTAATTATGAGTATTCCAACCTGTTCTGTTGTAGAATCAGGGCAGAAATTGTAGCAAAGAGTGTGCCCATAAAGCCATTGAGTGCCCACCAGTAGTTCTGCAGGATGAGGCCTGCAAAAATAATGAGCCCACTCAAAGGGTTGTTGACAAACATGACCTGGGCAGCTCCACGCAAAACCCAGTCCAGCAGCTGCAGCAAGAAGACCTGTTCTGGAAGATGGAAAGAGAGAGAACGAGTGAACAGAGGGACTGTTGGCATCTTCCCAGGGCTGCTTAATGAGCTGTGACTCTTGTGCAGACTCAAGTCTTTTTAGGCTCACATTTGTGCAGCCAGGGGCACGAAGAAAGACTGTGAAGACACAGTGAGAAGCAGAAGCCTGGGACACAGAGATAATCAGTGGCTGAGGGAACATCTGTGTCACCACGTGACTGTCCATAGTGACAGAAGCCATGACTTATCTTTTCATAGACCCTTCAACTGTAATAACGTCATGTAGAGTGCCTATAAAAAGTATTCACCCCTTGGGTGTTTTACCCTTTTATTGATTTTATAAATCAGTCATGGTCAATATAATTTGGCTTTTGTGACTAAAAAACAAAAATGAAAAAACCTCTTTAATGTCAAAGTGTAAACAGGTTTCTACAAAGTAATGTCAATTAAATAAAAATATGTAATGGGAAATAAGTGATTGCATAAATATTCACCCCCTTTAAAATGACTGACCTAATTCAACAGAGGTCCAGCCAGTTGGTGCTAGTAGTCTCACAATTAGAGAAATGGGGATCACCTGAGTGCAGTGAATGTTTTTCAAGTGATTGTAGTATAAAGACACCTGTGTCTCAAAGGTCCAGTCACTGGTTAATCAGGCTACCATTACACCATGAAGTTAAAAGAACATTCCAAGCAACTTGGAGAAAAGGTTATTGAAAAGTATAAGTCAAGGGATGGATACAAAAAATGTCCAATGCACTGAACATCCCCTGGAGTTCACTTAAGTCCATCATTAAGAAATGGAAGGAATATGGCACATGTCTAAATCTGCCTAGATCAGGCCGTCCTCACAGAGTGACCATGAGACTCTGCATACAACAACTGTTGCCGGGGTTCTTCACCAGTCAAAGCTTTATGGGAGACTGGCAAAGAGAAAGTCACTGTTGAAGAAAACTCCAGCTGCCTGGGTTCTTCACCAGTCAAAGCTTTATGGGAAAGTGGCAAAGAGAAAGCCACTGTTGAAGAAACCCCATATTAAATCTCGACTCGAGTTCGCCAAAGGGCAAGTGGGAGACTCCGTGGTCAAGTGGAAGAAAATTCTTTGGTCTGATGAGACCAAAATGGTGCTTTCTGGCCATCAGACAAGACGCTATGTTTGACAGACACCAAACACTGCATGTCACAACAAACATGCCATCCTCACTGTGAAGCACGGTGGTGGCAGCGTCATGCTGTGGGGATCATTCTCAGTAGCCAGCCCTGCAAGGCTTGTAAAGGTTGAGGGTAAAATGAATGCAACAAAATATAGGAAACTCCTTCCACAATTGATTGATTGATTTATTCTTTCAAGCATGTAAAGATAGTCGACATGTCAACACATAATTTCACACATATCCACAAATGCTAATCCATTATCAATTTGCTTATACCTAGTACATGCTTGAATGGAGTAGGAAGAAGTTAGACTTATCCAGTCCTACCCCATAACATCATCTTACCATCATTGGTTTGCAAGCAGTATCTCTACATAGATAATTTTGTTCTACACCACACAAATAATATACTAAAAAATTATTACAGATTGTTAACATTCTTACATAATTACATTCTTAGATAATTGTCTTCTACACCACACAAGTAATATACTAAAGAATTATTACATAGTGTTAACATTCTTACACCACACCCACAATGTTCCATCTAATTAATCATTAAACCTGTTCTTGCATATATCTTGATTGACACATACCTATATATTTATGTTTAAACTCGTCTATTCTATTACTATTTTTTATGTCCACACTTAAATTATTCCATAGTTTTACCCCATTTATGGAAATACAGAATATTTTTTTGGTTGTACGTATAGCATGAATTTTAAAATTTAACTGACCCCTTAAATTGTATCCCCCTTCCCTTTCATTAAATTGAGTTTGAATTCCACCAGGTAATAAATTGTTCCTGGCTTTATACATAAACACAGCAGTCTTGTATCAAAAAATTTTAACAATTTAGACTGTATGAAAGCTACATTGGTGTGATCCCTATAACAACACAATCTTTTTCAGTCTGCACAAGAACTATGGTTTGATATTCTAGAACAGTGCGTGTTTTCCCCAACCAAAAACCATGATAATAGGGATATAAAACAGAAAATCAGGAAGAGACAAGAACTTTTTAAGTCAGGGGACCAAGCAGAATACAGGAAAGCCTGGTACGAGCTACAGAAGTCCATCAGAGCTGCAAAAAGAGCATACTTCCAAAAACTGGAGAGCTACTATATGAATAACAACACAGTATGTGGCAGGGAATCCAGGCAGTCACAAACTAAGGAACAAATCAACAAACGCAGTCTCCAATGACATCACCCTCCTGGACCACCTCAACAAGTTCTATGTGAGGTTTAACAGGATGAACACAGACACCCCCTCAAAATCCCCGTGACCCGGGGGACACTACTTTTCGGTTGACACATACACAGGTCCTGAAGGCGCTGAAACAGGTAAACCCCCATAAGGCGCGGGAGCTCACAATCAGCACAGGCTCACCGCAGGGCTACAGTGTATCGCCCTTTATATCATTTAAAATTACTAGTGCTTTCACAGATATGCAAGTTAACCATGCTGTGTGCACAACAACACCCTTTATGTTGGTGTGTCCCAAGATGTGCTACAAAGACTTCAGCTGGTACAAAACGCGGCTGCTCGGTTGCTGTCGAACACTCCCAGGTATGCCCACATTCTCCAGTTCTTTTTTCACTATACTGGTTGCCAGTAAAATGGAGAGTTGATTTTAAAATGTTATTTGTCTTTAACGCCATATATGGCCTCCGCCCACCGTACCTATCGGAGCTGTTATCAATATACCCTTCATTGGTTGCCAGTAAAATGGAGAGTTGATTTTAAGATGTTGTTATCTGTCTTTAAGGCCATATATGGCCTTGCCCCACCATACCTATCGGAGCTGTTATCAATATACACTCCGCGCCGAACCCTGTGCTCCGCTGAGCACGTGTCCTTGGTTATTCCACAGGCCCGATCTAAAAAATGGGGCAACCACTCGTTTGCTGTCTATGGTCCTAGACTCTGGAATTCATTGCCGCCTGAGATTTGGTCTACAACTGAGCTAGCGGTTTTTAAGTCTACTTTAAAAACTCACCTAAACAGGCTTTTGGTGTTTAATCCATTTTATCTGCCCTAAAGGGACATGGTTAATTTGTTCTTCTATATTATTTTATTTTGATGAAACTTTTATTGCTATGATTTTCTAACCTGTGTTTAGTATTGATTGTTTTAGTATTTGTTAGTTGATATATATGTTCCACTGTGCAGCACTTTGTGCTCTTCGGAGTTGAAAAGTGCTTTATACTTAAAGTTTATTATTATTATTATTATAAAGTGCTGAAAAATGGACGGAAGATCCCAGAATAATCAGGAGAACATAGTATGGATGCTGTAAAGCAGGGGTGTCCAATTCCAGTCCTCAAGGGCCACTGTTCTGCTTGTTTTTCAACTATCCCTGCCTGACCTGCTGCTGATTACCTGGCTCAGGTGTGTTCAGTCAGTCAGAAGCTGGAAGATACCAATTCACTTTATCTTTCCTCACTCCACTTTCATCTAAGATGGTATCTTAGATGACCTCGGCAGAGAGGACGACTCTTCAAAGGCTCATAAAGACTGCAGAGAGAATAATTGGGACTGAACTTCCTGCTATGGACACACTGTACACACAGCTCTGTCTTAAAAGGGCAGAGAACATAATCAGGGATTCATGCCACCCAGCTCACACTCTGCTCAGGCACAAAAACTGCACCTACAGCCTCAGGCACAGCAGGGCAGACAGTATCATCACACACAGAACTAGACTTTATAACAGCTTTTTCCCTGCTGCAGTAAGACTGATGGCAAATACGAAAATGTGAGAATATATGTTCAATAACCCCTTACTAGACATTTGCAATAACACCTCACTACCTCACCAAGCATAAGGACATATCCAACTCCACCATTTGAATTAGTATATGCAATGTTTGAAGTTCACTGTGGGAAATACTTTTACTCTATTTTTGTGTATTGCAGTTTTAATGATTTGTTGCCTTTATACACATTTTTTAATTTTAAGACTAAGCATTCTTTCTGGCTTTTAACTCCTTACCTGACTCCAAAGGAGAGCTGCACAAGAATTCCTATATGCCTAGACTGTCTGTTTATGTATAAATGGCAAATAAAAAATCTTGAATCTTGAAGATTTATTTTCCAGCAAGACAATGACCCCAAGCACACAGTGAAAGCTACACAGAATGGTTTAAAGACAACAAGGTGAGTGTTCTGGAGTGGCCGAGTCAAAGCCCAGACCTCAGTCCAATGAAGAATTTCTGGCTGGACTTGAAAAGGGCTGTTCACACCCAATCCCTGCACAACCTGGCAGAGCTTGAGCAGTTTTGCAAAGGAGGGTGGAGTAAAATTGCAGGGTCCAAATGTGCAAGTATGAACGAGACCTATCCACACAGACTCAGTGCTGTGATTGCAGCCAAAGGTGCATCTACTGAATACTGACTTGAAAGGGGTGAATATTTATGCAGTCACTTATTTCACATTACATATTTTTCATTACCTTCTAGAAACCTGTTTTCACTTTGAAATGAAAGAGGGTTTTTTTGTACTTTTTTGTCAAAAAAGCCTAATTATATTGACCATGATTGATTTATAAAATCAATAAAAGGGTAAAACATCCAAGGGGTGAATACTTTTTATAGGCACTGTATATATTAACAGGATGTGTGTTGCACATTTTTTATAGTCTATTTAATTGTCATGAGTTTGTCAGTGGCACATGATTGTACAAAGATAAAGAGCGGTGTAGGGATTCGGTACATATCGCCCAAGGGTACTGTTAGGTATTTTTAGTCAGATAGAAATTGGATAGATACTTTATGTATTAGAAATGTTTAGTGGAGATAGGATGTCTAGTTAGACTGTTAAATGCTTAGACATGCTTATGAGTTTCTACAGGGTACATCTGATCAAGAATAACTAGAGAGAACAGTTGATGACTGTCAACAGACAGGGTGTTTAATATTATTATTACGACGTGTATAACTGTAGCCTTAGCCATAATATGTTCTTATGTTTAAGTCACGACATGTTACTAGA